GGAAAGAGAAATCACCATCCAGGGCAGATGGCCATGCCACAGTTCCTTCTCCTCGTTTTGAGCACGCGCACATGAGCCTGGTGTGACTTTCCAGCCATCAGGTGGCCCAGGGCTTGAACTGTGGTCCAGCACCTTAACTATATCACGTATGTGAAGCTCTTAGCTAACTCAAGTGCCAATAATCCCATATTATGTTTTCAAAGAAGGCATCTACGGTACTTGAAGTAACAAGTCTTCCGTGCTTACCCCTATCACCACCCTGAAAGGAAATGAAAAACGGGACAGAGCAGAAATGAAGCCAGGGAAGTGCCCCTTTACGGCTGGGCAGGGCTGCACATCCCTCCCTCACCACCCTGCCCAGCAGCAGCTGCTGTTAGATGAGAGCCCCGACACTCCCGTGGGTGTCAGTCAGGGAAGGTCCCAGTTTCGAAATAAGCCATTAAGCAGCCATCTACAACATCTGAAGACCTCAGGCCACCCAGGATGCTCTTGCCAGCCCCTGTAGAGTTCAGCACCAGAGAATGCAGAGGCCAAAACATCCAGCCTCACGACCAGCCTCCCAGAGAACAAGATGCAAGCAAAAGGACACCTATTGATAAAGACATATCATGGGGGACCAGCAGGTGGCGGGGTTTGAGGCGCTGGACTGCGGTTCGAGTCCCGGACCTGGAGACTTGGTTTCTCACTTTCTCTCTCTCGCTCTCTGTCTCTCTAAGTGAGCACACGTGAAAAAATAAATAAAATAAATGATAAAGACATATCATGTTGAAAGATAGATAAACCGGTGTGGCTGTCAGAGTGATGGATTCCCACATGGCTGACAGCAGTTCAAGTCCCAGTCCTGGGGGGTTTCTCTCTCTCTCTCTCTCTCTAATGAGCACACAAGCCCTATAGCAAATTTTAAATAATTATAATAATAAATAAATAATTCTTTTTTAAAAAGATATATAAACAGACTTTATTTCAGAGTTTCATGATAAAATTCTAAAAGGTAAAATACATTATTTTTATTTGCACAGTATAATTGGCAAAATAAAGCACAGAGTTCAATATTAATCCTAACATAATTTGAAGGGAGAAAAAAGGACTAAGTAGGAGTAAATACTGAAATAATACACAACTACTGGTATTTTGAATTCAATTCCCAGAAAACAGAGAGGATTGACCAGCAGTTGACCACTGCTGAAAGCCACTTGGGAAACGGGTTCACTTCCCCAGGCAACCTGAACACCCTGAACATGGCTTCCTGTGCCTCTCATCCTAACCGAGAGGTGCGGAGGAGGTTGCAACATGGCTGGAGCCTGTTGGGATGCCCATCTTTGTCTCTCTCCCTTTCCTTCTCTCTCCACCTCTTCTTACCTCCCTTGTTTACTCTCATAAAAGAAAAAAAAGGGGGAAAACAAAACCCAAAACCTAGAAAATCAATAGGTAATAGGTTTAGATCTCAAGGAAGCACATTTAAGAATAATTTCACTAGGGACCAGCAGTCGGTGTACTGGCTATGTTGCTGAACTCCCATGTAGTTGACCGCAGTTCGAGTCCTGGACCCGGTGGCTTAAACTCACACCAGGCATGTGTGCGTGCGTGCCCAAGATCCCGAGCGGAGAATGGATGAGAAGGGATTGTGTGGTGTGGCCATCCCCCTGGGGGGTGATTTCTTGCTTTCTCATTTGTGTCTTTAGTCTTTTTTCTTTTCATTTGCTATAGGGTACGTGCACTCATGGGTAGACAGAAAGCGAGAGTGAAAAAGGAAGTGCAGTTCGAGTCCTGGACCCGGTGGCTTAAACTCACACCAGGCATGTGTGCGTGCGTGCCCAAGATATCCCGAGGAGAATGGAGGAGAAGGGATTGTGTGGTGTGGCCATCCCCCTGGGGGGTGATTTCTTGCTTTCTCATTTGTGTCTTTAGTCTTTTTTCTTTTCATTTGCTATAGGGTACGTGCACTCATGGGTAGACAGAAAGTGAGAGTGAAAAAGGAAGTACCCCTCTGGGGGGAAGGCCATGCTTCAATTTCTTCTCCTTCTTCTCACACAAATATGTGCACACATCCACTCTTTCAACATTAAACACTAACTACTACGTCTAATTGTTTGGACAGGGGATCAGTCCCCCTCCCTGCCACTTTCTGTGTATCCACATCAGCCACACGGGCAAAGGCCTGACCCACAGCTGATCTGCCTTGGCCAAATGCTCTGTGACCCTCCTGGAACAGCGAGCAATGGCAGCCCTGGCGGGAGCTGCCCCACACCATCTCCCTTGCTCCATCTCCCCTGGCAGGCTCCTGGTTCTCATCGGGCTCTCTGCCACGCTGCTCTCAGTGACCACTACAGTCTGTAAAACTGCTTAGCAGCAGGCTAATTTATTTTTTTATAAAGAATTATGCACTGGGAACCAGCAGTTAGCATAATGGCTATGTCGCTGGACTCCCACATAGTCGACCGCGGTTCGCGTCCCGGACCCGGTGGCTTAAAACTCACGCCGGGTGCGTGTGCGTGCGTGCCCAAGATCCTGAGAGGAGAATGGAGGAGAAGGGACTGCGGCGTGACCATCCACCCTGGGGGGTGATTTCTCGCTTTCTGTCTCTATGTCTCTCTCTTGTCTGTCTGGCAAGCGCACGCGCCCTATAGCAAAAACCTCTCCAAAAAAAAAAAAAAAGAATTATGCACTCAATTTTATTCGTGTTTTTTTTTGTTTTTGTTTTTGTTTTGTTTTGTTTTTAATTTAACCAGAGAGACAGAGAGAGAAAGTAAGAAAGCAACTTGCCAGGTCCAGGACTCAAACCATGGTTCACCATGTGGGAGTCCAGCACTCTAATCACCACGCCACCTGCTGACCCCAACAACAGACTAAATTTTTTTATTTTAACTTTTTTTTTTAAGAGCTTTTTGCCTTAGGGTGCATGCACTTGCCAGAGAGATAGTGAAAGGGAAAGTAAGAAATCACCCTCCAGAGGCGATGGCCACACTCCTCCTCCATTATCGTTCTAGGATTTTGGGAATGCACACACACACACGCCTGGTGTGAGTTTCAAGCCACTGGGTCTGAGACTAAAACCGTGGTTAACCATGTGAGAGTCCAGAGATATAACCACTACACCATCTACTGGCTCCTTAACTTTTATTTTAATTGCCAGAGGATACTCTCCAGAAAGGGACAGAGAAAGAGATAGGGAGAGGGAGAAGCACCCTCCATCAGAGTGTGGTCACATCACAATCCCTTCTCCACTGTTTCACCATCCTAGCAGGATCTGGGGCCCACACACATATGCCCAGCATGTTTGACAAGCCCTCCGGATTAGGACTAAATCTATAGTCAGCCATGTTGGATCTGGCTTAACCACTAGCTACAAGGCCGGCCCTTAATGGCAGTCTAGAAGTGGTTTCTCCATAACAGAGGACCCCATGACTTGTGTTGCAGTCATCATTTGGGTGCGTGACAAGGACCCAGGGAGCTGGCATCTTTGGCTGTGCATGTGACTCTAAAAGAGGCTCATTCTGTCTTTCTTGGCTGACTCAGTCAAGTCTTAGCCTTGCTTTTCCTTGCATGCTTGACAACTTATTTGTTTTACTTAACAAAATATCCAGGAAATCATACTTTCTGTTCTTCGTGGCCTTCTTTCTCCTCAACTCTATGACACATACACATTTGTGTATAGTGGTGTAGTCACCTTTCTTTTAGGTCTTTGGACTTCTAAGGATAACACTGGAATGCCAAGGCCCAACTCTATGACACATACACATTTGTGTATAGTGGTGTAGTCACCTTTCTTTTAGGTCTTTGGACTTCTAACAATGGCTTCAAGGATAACACTGTGGAATCCCAAGGCCCTTCCTACGAGGGGCAATGATAGAGCTTACTCCACTTCCTCTTAGAAGCCTCACTCACCCATTTTCCTTGGCCAAGGACCTTCTGAGACAAGCAGGAAGCAGCCGCTGCGATCTTAGATGGGTGATAATGCACCATGTCGTAGTCAATGAGAGTCAGTTCCATCAAGTACTTGGCTAGTGTGTGCTGTTCGACGTCCACCTGTGAAAGGACAGCCAGGGACAGTAAGGGGCACACATGCTACAACTACCTGCAAATTCCTGGCAAAGGCCTAGGAACTCACATCCACATAACTCACTCACTCTCCTCACTATCTGCTCTTCCCTACAATATGGCCAAACATAGAACATGAGGTCTTTTCTCTACATGAATAAGAAGACTTCCCTGAGGGACACGTCCTTCCTATAAATGTGTAAGCTATCACTTCATTAAATCAGGTCGAAGCAAAGAGCAGAGTCTCCAACAGAGCTCGGGCACTCACCTCCCCAGCCTTCGACGCGCGCCTTAAGAAGTGGAGTGGCAAGGGTCGACCCAGCTCAAATTTCAGTTCTTTCAATATGGAAGTTTCCATTTCTCGGATTTGGGAACTGGTATAAGCATTGTCTGTGACGTAAACAAAGTCTTCAATATTTGGAGAAAACATCTCCTCATACTTGGAAGCCAGAAGCAGAGCGGTAATTCCAACTAGCTGAAGCTTCTTACGTGAGACTGGCTGAACCTACGGAAGATAAATGTGGCCAAAGTCACCAGAACAGGAGGACTGGGCTCTGGGTAAAAAAAATCGCAAGAGAAGGCCCAGTCAGTAGTGTGGTGGTGAAGGTGCTGAGTCCCACATGGTCAACAGCATGGCTCGAATCCTGGACCCGGTAGCTCGAGAAACACACCAGGCACACGTGCATGCATGCATAAAATTCTAAGAGAAGAGAGTAGAAAAGATTGTGGCATGGCCACTCCCCCAGGGCGTGCTTTCTCACTTTCACTTTGTCTCTCTCTGTTCTCTCTCTGGTGAGCTACACATGTCCAAAGGCAAAAAAAATCTTAAAAAAAAAAAGAAGGAAGAAGAATGTGAGAAGGAATCGAGCACTGGAGACGTGAGTGTCACTCTGCTCACGGTCCTCAGGGAGCAGAACAGACAGGAACATTAAGGGTAGAAATGGCGGGGGCCAGCAGGTTAGGTATGGTGGTTAAGGTACTGGACGCCCACATGGTTGAATGCAGTTTGAGTCCCAGATCTGGTTGCTTGCTTTCTCACTTTCCCTTTCTCTCTCTGGTAAGTGCCTTATAGCAAATTTAAAAATAATAATAATTTAAAAATAAAATAAATAAATCTGGAGAGCAGATCGCATCCATTGCTGGACTTCCACATAGTTGACTGTGGTTGGAGTCCCGGACCCGGCAGCTTAAAACTCATGCGGGGCACGTGTGTGTGCATGCTGAAAACCCCAAGAACTGAATGGAGGCATGGGGTGATTCACTCCGGGCAAAGAGTGATTTCTCTCTCTGTCTCTCTGTTCTTCCTCACCCATTTTCCTTGGCCAAGGACCTTCTGAGACAAGCAGGAAGCAGCCGCTGCGATCTTAGATGGGTGATAATGCACCATGTCGTAGTCAATGAGAGTCAGTTCCATCAAGTACTTGGCTAGTGTGTGCTGTTCGACGTCCACCTGTGAAAGGACAGCCAGGGACAGTAAGGGGCACACATGCTACAACTACCTGCAAATTCCTGGCAAAGGCCTAGGAACTCACATCCACATAACTCACTCACTCTCCTCACTATCTGCTCTTCCCTACAATATGGCCAAACATAGAACATGAGGTCTTTTCTCTACATGAATAAGAAGACTTCCCTGAGGGACACGTCCTTCCTATAAATGTGTAAGCTATCACTTCATTAAATCAGGTCGAAGCAAAGAGCAGAGTCTCCAACAGAGCTCGGGCACTCACCTCCCCAGCCTTCGACGCGCGCCTTAAGAAGTGGAGTGGCAAGGGTCGACCCAGCTCAAATTTCAGTTCTTTCAATATGGAAGTTTCCATTTCTCGGATTTGGGAACTGGTATAAGCATTGTCTGTGACGTAAACAAAGTCTTCAATATTTGGAGAAAACATCTCCTCATACTTGGAAGCCAGAAGCAGAGCGGTAATTCCAACTAGCTGAAGCTTCTTACGTGAGACTGGCTGAACCTACGGAAGATAAATGTGGCCAAAGTCACCAGAACAGGAGGACTGGGCTCTGGGTAAAAAAAATCGCAAGAGAAGGCCCAGTCAGTAGTGTGGTGGTGAAGGTGCTGAGTCCCACATGGTCAACAGCATGGCTCGAATCCTGGACCCGGTAGCTCGAGAAACACGCCAGGCACACGTGCATGCATGCATAAAATTCTAAGAGAAGAGAGTAGAAAAGATTGTGGCATGGCCACTCCCCCAGGGCGTGCTTTCTCACTTTCACTTTGTCTCTCTCTGTTCTCTCTCTGGTGAGCTACACATGTCCAAAGGCAAAAAAAATCTTAAAAAAAAAAAGAAGGAAGAAGAATGTGAGAAGGAATCGAGCACTGGAGACGTGAGTGTCACTCTGCTCACGGTCCTCAGGGAGCAGAACAGACAGGAACATTAAGGGTAGAAATGGCGGGGGCCAGCAGGTTAGGTATGGTGGTTAAGGTACTGGACGCCCACATGGTTGAATGCAGTTTGAGTCCCAGATCTGGTTGCTTGCTTTCTCACTTTCCCTTTCTCTCTCTGGTAAGTGCCTTATAGCAAATTTAAAAATAATAATAATTTAAAAATAAAATAAATAAATCTGGAGAGCAGATCGCATCCATTGCTGGACTTCCACATAGTTGACTGTGGTTGGAGTCCCGGACCCGGCAGCTTAAAACTCATGCGGGGCACGTGTGTGTGCATGCTGAAAACCCCAAGAACTGAATGGAGGCATGGGGTGATTCACTCCGGGCAAAGAGTGATTTCTCTCTCTGTCTCTCTGTTCTTCCGGTGAGTGCACGTGCCCTATCGCAAAAATCTCTCTAAAAAAGAATAATAATTCTTTTTTTTTTTTTTGGAGAGGTTTTTGCGATAGAGCGCGTGCGCTCGCCAGACAGACAAGAGAGAGACAGAGAGACAGAAAGCGAGAAATCACCCCCCAGGGGGGATGGCCACGCCGCAATCCCTTCTCCATTCTCCTCTCGGGATCTTGGGCACACACGCACACGTGCCCAGAGTGAGTTTTAAGTCACCGGGTCCAGGATGCGAACCGCGGTCGACTACATGGGAGTCCAGCGACATAGCCATTACGCTAACTGCTGGTCCCAAGAATAATAATTCTTTAAAAACAAAAAAAAGGAGCCACCCCTGACCACAGCACTTCTGCTGCTGAAACCGATCCAGGCCAGCGCCAAGAGTGTACATGTGACCTCACTGAGCCTCACAGTAACCCTAGCAAGTACACATTTTTATCCTCAGTTACAAAGAGAGGGGCCGGGGCAGAGATTCAGACCCAGCGTGGGGGACAGGATGCAAGCCTGGTGACCAAGCTTCTGGTCACTCTCTCACGTCGCGTCGACTCGAGTGCGCAGCCCTTGCCCGGTGCTCACGCCCTGCAAGTGCTGAACCAGCACAGGCCGCGTCAGACGGCTATGCCTTCACCCTCACCACAAGCGCACCCGTTATTCCACTCCGAGAACCTATGAGTGATGCTTCAGAGTCAGGGAAAACCTCAGTTTACAGTATTTGCCTCCCTCATTTCCTTTTTGTTTTTGAACTGAGACTTTACTTTTCTTGCTTCAATTTTCATTATTGAAAGTCTACCAGGGGCCAGCAGGTGGCATGGTCGTTAAAGGCACTGGACTCCCACATGGCCAACCACGGTTCAAGTCCCAGACCTGGTGGCTTGCTTTCTCACGTTCCCTCCCCCACTCTCTCTCTGATCAAACTGGAAAATAATAATAATAATAATAATAAATGAAGTTAAATGAAATAATTCTTTTAAATAAAGAAGAGAAAATTTACCTAAAGAATTAATGTTTTCCTCCTCAGTGGGAATACATACTGAACATTGTTGAACCTAGATGGTAACTCAAGATCTGCTAGTACCTCAGGGCAGATATCACAAACCTACCCACTGCTATAGTGTTTGGGCAGAATTTGTACTTTATCTAAACCCGTATCATGAATGTTGGCTTTACATAAATAAATCCTGCCTGCAGGGCTGCTGCTTGGTAGATAACACACCAGAAATGGGTGTCTGATACCTCTAACCGGTCAGCGTCTGCGTTACCAGGTGATAAGTATTTTGAAGATCACTTTTGCCTCAGTTTATTTTCTTCTATCTTTCTTTACTTCATGGCCCACTTTCTCAGTCCACTCCACACACATACCCCTCCTCCTTTAAATAATAACCTGCCTAAAACCAGCAGGTGGCATAGTAGTAAGGCACTGGACTCCCACATGGCCCCCCAAGGTTCAAGTCCTGCACTTAGAGGCTTAAAACTCATGCCAGGCATGTGTGCATGCGTGCCCAAGATCCCGAGAGAATGGAGGAGAGGAATTGCTGTGTGGCCATCCCCCCTGGGGGGTGATTTCTCACGTTCTGTCTCTTCATCTCTCTCTGTCGGTCCAGTGAGCACATGCACCCTGTAGCAAAAATCTCTCTTTAAAAAAAAAAATTGCCTCTCCCTCTCTTACTTCTTGGGTGACTTAATGCCACACCTAGCTAGAAACTTTGAAGTTGTCTAGCTAAACTCATCATTTTTCAGGTGAGGAAACCTAACACCAAAGGGTACCAAACTATGGAAATTGTGCACACAGGCCAGGGAAACCAGGGTCTAAAAGTGCCACAGGGGTTAGGCTGACTCCCAGGACCGCTGACGGCCACATATTTGCTCTGGTGAGACAGCGCGCCCCAAGCACTTGTCAGCAGACGGACCCTACAGAAATGCCCGGCGTTGGCCAACATCACCCATCACCAGAGGCTACTTCCCTCTTCAGCACCTGAAGTTCTCTGGCTCCTCATAAACTGGTGTTTGGCCTTTTATTCAGAACACACCACACCTTAGCCTTCTGTCCCCAAGGCATGCATGTGATGTTTGGGGAGCCAACTGTCACACTTACCTGTAAGAATCTATCCATGATGGCGACGCACATGTACAGGGTCTCCTGCAGAAGCCGGAACTTGGAGTGCACTTGCACCAGCCAGTCCACCAGGATGGCTCGCATCCGTCCGTTGATATCTCTTCCTTCTAGGAAATGCGGGCTTATGGATTGCACGACCTGTTGGTGGAGAGACAAGTTTCAGAAGCTGACCTCGTTCCTTCCCAGACATGCGGTCAATTCCACGTTGCTTGTTCGACCAGAGCACAAAGGCCTGCCCACCTCAAGCTGCCGTAGATACTGGTAGATGTCCTTAACGTAGTCGCTGCAGAGCTGCGGGTTCTCCCAGTCTTCATTATCGATATCCTCTATTTTGCAGAGCAAGGCATCAGAAAAAGCTTGGCACAGGTTCTCTTCCCTCATGGAGACGTCCTCGGGTGTGGGAGACAGGCTCTACAGGGACAAACGACAGCACACAGATTACTCCAGTAGAGGCAGCCTCAACGACAACCACGTGCAGAAAGAGCTGGCTTAAACATGTCACGCGCATGCTTAAGATCAAAGCAAATAGTTTTTTAAAGAAGTTTTTCATTTTTATATATTTATTTATTTTTAATGTTGCTATAGGGCACATGTACTACCAGAGAGAGAGACAGACAGAGAGAAAGGGAGAAAGCAAGCCACTAGGTCCAGCAAGCCACTAGTCCAGTGCCTTAACCACCATGCCACCTGCTGGCTCCAAAGTAAATACATTGACAGGTAATTGTGCTGAGGAACTCAAGACATAACAGATGGGGCCAGTAGTCGTGGTATGGTGGTGAAGGTGACTGGATCCCACATGGCCAATTTTGTGGTTCAAGTCCCAGACCAGGCAGCTTGAGAAACCTACCAGGAGTATGTGTGTACCCAAAATCCCAAAAGGAGCAAGAAATGGAGAGGAGATTTCTGCAATGACCACACCCCATGGGGTACTTTCTCACTCCCCCAACCCCTGGTGAGCACACGCGCCTCTGGCGAATCTTACATAGCCCTGTGCAGATGTGTTGGAGGAGACACTTCTCTGTTTAAAACTAACTGGCTCAGAGAGAAATCCAAGCCCTCACGGGGGCCGTGGGCCCTGTGAGCTCCACGGCCTGGCCTGCGCCCTTCCCAGCCTAGATCCTACTTCTCTCCTCCTGGATGGCTGCCCTCGCTGCACAGGCTCCCCCCACCAGACTACTGGTTCTCTACCTGCCTGGGTATTTCCTTGCCTTCTTCAACTTTCTATCCTGACTCCTATTTAAAAACACCACTTCCAGGGCCAGCAGGAGGAGTGGTGGTTAAAGCGGCTGGATTCACATATGGTCGACTGTGGTTAGAATCCTGGATCCAGGGGCTTGACAATCAAACCAGGCACATGTGCGTGCATGCCCAAAACCCCAAGAGGAGACTGGAGGACAAGGAACCGTGGCATGGCCGTCCCTCCTGGGCGGTGATTTTTCTCACTCTCCTCTCACCCCATTCATGTATGTGCCCTCTGGTGTTAAAAATAACAATAAATTAATTCTTTTGTTTTTTTCCATTGGAGAGGTTTTCGCTATAGGGCACGTGCACTCACCAGAAAGACAGAGAGAGACACAGAGACAGAAAGCAAGAAATCACCCCCCAGGGGGGATGGTCACGCCGCAATCCCTTCTCCATTCTCCTCTCGGGATCTTGGGCACGCACGCGCACCTGGTGTGAGTTTAAGCCACCAGGTCCGGGACTCGAACCACAGTCGACTACGTGGGAGTCCAGAGACATAGCCATTACACTAACCTCTGGTTCCCAATAAATTAATTCTTGAATAAATTAAATGACTATCTCCCTTCAGTCTGAAGACCTCTATCTCACCCTACACACACCTCATCATTTTTCTTGTTTTTCTCATAGAACCTGTAACTAATTTTCTTTCCTTCCTTCCTTTTCTTTTCTTTTTATATTTTTTTGAGAGTTGTTTGCTATAGGGTGCGTGCACTCGCCAGAAAGACACAGACAGAGAGACAGAAAGCGAGAAATCACCCCTCCTCCCCAGGGAGGATGGTCACGCTGCAATCCCTTCTCCTCCATTCTCCTCTCAGGGTCTCCGGCACATGTGCACCTGGCGTGAGTTTAAGCCACCAGGTCAGGGACTTGAACAATGGTCAACTACATGGTAGTCCAAAAACGTAAACGTAGTCATTACACCATCTGCTGGTGTCTCTCTCTCTCTCTTTCAATTTGAGCAGTGAGGGACAGAGCTAGAGAGGGAGAAAGAAAGGGAGAAAGCAAGCCACCAGGTCTGGGATTCAAATCGAGGTTGGTCATGTGGGAGTCTAGAGCCCTTAAACACCACACCACCTGCTGGACCCCAGAACCTAAAACTTTCTAATACACTAGCGTTTACTTGTGTATTAAGTGTACTGTTTTCTACCTCTGCTAGAATTTAAGTCCATACAGCTCCATTTATTTAATTGGTTCTATCCAGTTAGGTACCTCAAACACTGTCACCTCTACAGTAGGTGCTCAATAAATGAAAGAGACGTGACCATCTGGGTTCAGAGGTCACTGGAGCTGATCACTCTAGGAGCCTTTTCTGAAAGCAAAATGTTTTCTTCTCCTCAACTAATCACTCTAAATTGAGAAACTGGCAAGTGAAAAGCAGAATCACACGTTCCTGTCTATAAATAAAACAAGAAGGGGAAGCAAAGACCGAGAAAGCATATGACTCTTTTATTTTCTGCTGACCAGGTGATTATTTATAAAAATCATACAAATTAAAAATGTATGAAGTTAAAACAATTATTTAGTGATGAAGTATAAATAAATAATTACTTTAAAAAGAATAAGAGGTACTTTTCAAAGTAAAACCTAACAGGACTGCTTGGCTACAAAGAGTGCGTATAGGGAAATAAAATATGAAAACGATATGTGCGATAAGCGGGGCAACTTCATTTCCACTAACGCGCAACGATAACAGTTCCGGCCTTACAGGAAGAGATGATGGCGACACGGTACAGTCATCTCTCAGGGCCAGCAGATGGCGTAATGGTTATGTCACTGGACTCCCACATAGTCAACCCAGGTTGGAGTCCTGGACCCGGTGGCTTAAACTCACAGTGAGCGTGTGTGTCCAAAATTCTGAGAGCAGACTAGAGAAGGGTTTGCAGCATGGCCATTCCAAATATGTGTGTGTGTGGAGGGGGGATTTCTCACTTTCTGTCTCTCTGTCTCCCTCTCTCTCCGACGAGCACACTTGCTCTATAGCAAAAACTTCTAAAAAAAAAAAAAAAAGAAGAAAAAGTACAGTAAACTCTTGAATAACATGGGTTTGCACTGCATGAACCCTCTTTACGCACAAATAATTTTCTATACTTAAATGTGTTTTCTCTTTTTCTTTATTCATTTTTTTAAAAAATTGTTACAGGGTGAGTGCACTCACGAAAGAGACAGAGAGAGGGAAAGGGAGAGAGCACCCCCCAATGGGGTATGGGTGCACTGCAATACCTTCTCCATTACTCCACCCTATCGGGGTCTGGGGCTTGCACATGTGCGTACCCATCATGTTTTCCAAACCGCCATGTCTGGGACTTGAACTGGAATATCAGCCATGTGGGATCCAGCTTTCTTAACCACCAGGCCATAAGCTGGCCCTTCCTTGTTATTTTCTTAATAACATTTTCTTGGGGACCAGCAGATGGCATAATGATTATGTCACTGGACTCCCATATAGTGGACCACAGTTCAAGTCCTTTATCAGGCAGCTTGAAACTCATGCCAAGCATGTGTGCATGCATGCCCAAAATCCTGAGAGGAGAAAGGAGAAGGGATTGTGGGGGGTAATTTCTTGTTTTCTGTCTCTGTCTCTCTGGCAAGCACATGCACCCTATAGCAAAATCTCTCTCAGAAAAAAACCCACATTTTCTTTTCTCTAGCTAATTCTAAGAATACATTTTTTAACATATTACATACAAAACATGTTAACTTAATTCTTATGTTATCAGTAAGGCTTCCAGTCAACAATAGCTTGTCCGTAGTTAAGTTCAGGGGCATCGACAAGTCACACACGGGCCAGATGGTGGTGTAGCAGTGATACAACTGGACCCACGTGGAAAACGCCCCAGGGTCATGTTCAGAACATCCCTGAGCATGCCGGCACACGTGTGTGACTGAAATGTGGGCCAGCTCAGACTGGGAGTGGACTGCAGCAGGGGGAACCAGTTTGGGGTACCTTTCTCTCTCCCTCATGGAAATTAACAAAGTGACAAATAGACTTCAGTTGTATGCAAATTTTCCACTGCACAGGGGTTGGTAGGTGCCTGTAATCCCCCATGTTGTTGAAGTCCTCACCAGTTCAAAATACAGCCTTCCCTCTTAAATCAAAGGTCTTAACTTAGGAAGGACCAGCTGAGCAAGAAGCATGCTGGTGCCAGGGGACTTCAAAATGCTTATGGAAAATGGAATTAAAAGACAAAAATTGGGACCAGCAGTTGGAGTAGTGACTCCGTCACTGGACTCCCATGTAGTCGATGGCAGTTCGAGTTCCGGGCCCGGTGGCTTAAACTCACACTGGGCGCATGTGCGTGCATGTCCAAGATCCCAAGAGGAGAATGGAGAAGGGATTGCGGTGTGGCCATCCCCGCTAGGGGGTGAGTTCTCACTTTCTTTCTTTCTCTGTCTTTCTGGCAAGCATGCGAACTCTATAGCAAAAACCTCTCCAAAAAAAAAAAAAAAGATAAAAATTAAAAATACATACTTTAGGACCTGTGTTAAGGCAGCTGGCTCCCACATGGCCAATCGCAATATTCAAATCCCAGATCTGGCAGCTTGGAAAATACACTGGGCACAAAATCCCGAGAAGAACAGAAAAGAACTGTGGAGTGGCCCATCCCCCTGGGGGGTGATTTCTCACTTTCTTTCCACTCTGTATCTCAACATATATGCCATCAAGTTCAAGACTGGACCTGTGTTAAGGCAGCTGGCTCCCACATGGCCAATCGCAATATTCAAATCCCAGATCTGGCAGCTTGGAAAATACACTGGGCACAAAATCCCGAGAAGAACAGAAAAGAACTGTGGAGTGGCCCATCCCCCTGGGGGGTGATTTCTCACTTTCTTTCCACTCTGTATCTCAACATATATGCCATCAATTTCAAGACTGTTTTTTCCTTTTTTTTTTTTTTGAGAGGTTTTTGCTATAGGGCACATGCACTCACCAGAAAGACAGAGAGAGAGAGAGACAGAAAGCGAGAAATCACCCCCCAGGGTGGGGGGGGAATGACCACACCACAATCCCCTTCTCCTCCATTTTCCTCCTGGGATCTTGGAGGCACATGTGCCTGGTGTGAGTTTAAGCCAACGGGTCCATGACTTGAACCTCAGTTAACTACATGGAAGTCCAAGTGACATAGCCATTACGCCAACTGCTGGGCCCTCCTCTAGGGATTTTGGGCATG